CACCTTGACAGCCACAAACCACACCACATGATGTGACGTATATTCATACCTAGACAGCCAATGATCACAAGTGGCGTATCTCCACACATAGACTATCACAAACGAAACCACATGTGGTTAGGTCGACAACTAGACAGCCACAAACCACACCACATGTGGTGTATATCCACACCTAGACAGCCACAAACCACACCGCATGTGGTGTATATCCACACCTAGACAGCCACAAACCACACCGCATGTGGCAGTCTAGACAGCCACAAACCACACCGCATGTGGTGTATATCCACACCTAGACAGCCACAAACCACTCGACATTGACACTAAGTGTCGAAAAGTTTCGAACCAGCGAGTCGACCTCGAGACACGAAATGGCTGACGTCATAGTTGCCGAGGTGGAGATGGTGAGGAACTGCTGACAACCGGAAGTGATGGTTGGGGCGTAAGTGGTCGTGGTGGTGCTGCCGCCGGACAGCAGCCCGGTCCCTAGCAGACCACCGCCCCCCAGAAGACCACCGCTGGTACCGGAAGTGGTCGTCGTGATGACCTTGTCCCCCAGGAAGTCAGAGGCCAGGAGGTTGTTGGCTAGACACCTGACGCGGGAGCCTGTGGGTAGGGAGTCAGTGATGTTGGAGTCAGTAAATGTTGGAGTCAGTGATGTTGGAGTCAGTAAATGTTGGTCAGTAGATTATGGAGTCAGTGATGTTGGAGTCAGTAAATGTTGGTCAGTAGATTATGGAGTCAGTGATGTTGGAGTCAGTAAATGTTGGTCAGTAGATTATGGAGTCAGTGATGTTGGAGTCAGTAAATGCTGGAGTCAGTAGATGTTGGAGTCAGTAAATGTTGGTCAGTAGATTATGGAGTCAGTGATGTTGGAGTCAGTAAATGCTGGAGTCAGTAGATGTTGGAGTCAGTAAATGTTGGAGTCAGTAGATTATGGAGTCAGTGATGTTGGAGTCAGTAAATGCTGGAGTCAGTTAATCTTAAAGGCAATGATTGTTGGAGTCAGTAATGCTGGAATCAGTAAATATTGGCGTCAGCTAATAAGCAAATGCTACAGTCAGTAATTATTAACGTCAGTTCTGTTGAAGTTAGTAAAGATTGAAGTCAGTAAATGTTGGAGTCAGTAAATGTTACAGTAAAAATGGAATTTCACTTACATCGAATTTCATTTTGTTAATTTGTAACACAACAACAAAAAACAAAACAGCTTACCATTGTCAGTAACCTGGACTTCGTTGCACTTGAAAATATGCAAATCACTAGAGTTCACATAGACCTTGACCCTGACATCCGCCCCAGTGTTGACCTTGCTCACCAGCACCGCCAGTGTCGTGGGGTCGGGAGTGACGTTGATGGTGGTCAAGTGGGTGGAGGTGAAGTTCTGTGGGTCAAGGAACCACGTGATCGTGGTGTAGTCGTCCAGCTTAGTGTAGGCGTCGGAGCCGAAGCTGACAGAGAACTCCTCCAGGTACCCGGACGCCTTGAGGCTGTAGTGTCTCTTGCTGGTGGAGAAGACGAGCAGCCCCAGGTTGTACAGCGACTCACGTTTCAGGACGTTCGCCACGTGCAGGGTGACGTCATTGGCGATGTTGTCGACGTTGATGTAATCGGGTTCGGCGTAAAGGACAGCCGTGCCGGCAGTGAACCCAACCCGCAGCCGTCGGCCTGACGCTAAGTTTGTTTTTAAACTGCTGAAGAGGGTGGCGGAGGGCGCGACGTTGTACTGGGTCGTCAGGACGTAGGACCAGCAGAAGTCTGAGTACCAGACGTAGTCCGTAGACACGAGCTCCGCCTCGTTCTTCACCTTGTTGATGTAGTCCCACGTGACGAGGTAAGCCGACCCTGAGGATTCCACTGTCAGGCCTTTGTATTTCTGAGACTCGTAGTAATCCCCCTGAGCTTTGATGAGGGTCCCGTCCTTGATGACAATTCTGGCATTCAGGACCCGTTTTGTTGGCCCCAGCATAAGCAGAGTCATGCTGGCTCCGGAGCTAAGAGCCGCGCCCAAAGCGGTGAGGTTACCTCCGTTTTGGTAGATGATCTCCCTATCTCCTAGTGGAAGACTGGAACGTGTTTCCAGAACTGACTGGACACTAGTAGTGTCCGGTATTCCAATCATAGACTGCATGCAGTACATGAAGATCATGCCTGTTGATGAAGTCAAGCTGAAGGTGCGGAGAATTGACGTGACCAGTCCGGAGTTGATGCCTAACAAGTACTGGGGGACGTACAGCCAGACCGGAAGTATAGAGGTGGTGAAGGTGTAGGAGTAGGACCTGGCGATGAAGGTGGAGTTTGCGGTTGTAAATCGCATTTTTAAATCGTTGCCGTAGGCGCACATCTGCATAATGGTGCTGTAATCAAGGGTCGTTGACCCCTGATTTGAGATCACCTGCCGGGTCATCTTGCAGGTATCCGAACCTGCGACCGAGGCTGGTTGGACTTTGGAGCATGTTGAGGAAACAGATCCATAGGGTGTGATCTCGCTGGGGCAGGTGTCGGTGTCGTAGACAAACAAAAGACACGCGTACCGCCCTGTTGTGGTGTTCTGGGCGAAACTGTACCTCAAGCACCAGGTGTTTTTGGAGCACGTGACCGCACATTCCAGCCGTGATCTGACGGCACGGTAGACTGGTGCCACGATAGATGACTGCGGTACGGTGCCGCAGGGGCTCGTGCAGTAGAACTTGCCCGACTTGAATCCGCCCGGCGTCACCGTTATAAAAAACATGACCGCAGTAAAAAATAACGTCGAGCTCACTTTTCTCAAGCTTGACATTGCTGACATACTCAAATCACACAAGGAATGCACAGCTAATTTAAAAGTAACGAATTGAATATAACACTCTCCACCTTTTTTTTCGACACCAGTATAGCAATATTATAACTAACGTCACACAAATTGATGTTGACAGTAAATATTCTATTCCAAGTTGTTTGAACAGAAGCAATGACGACGGTGTTTGATTGAAATTAGCTTTGTTGAGGAAGGAGCGGCAGACTGGGACCAAAATGCATTAGTCTTTGGAACTCTTTTGGGTGCGAAAAAAAAACGTCAATTATCGGCGATTTGATCTGGCTTGTTTGGTGTTTAAAACTTACGTCGGCCCGCGGGCCGGAATTTAAAACACTTACATGGGCTTACTTTTGACCTTATATTTAGGAACTCGCAACTGTTTTAAATACAATACTTGAAAGAGAGGTAATTACTTATGTTATTCATAGAATTTTATTCTCAGAAAATAAAAATACAATGAAAAAAATAACATTAAATGAAATAAGAAAATTATTTTTATACATAAAGGTAAACATGCACCTAATATAAATAATATTGCATTAATTAATTATCTTTGTTATTTTCCAAAACACATTTAATCTAAATAGTTAGAAATAGTGATGAAAAATGTGATTATAATTTTGTCCAACGGCCCGCGGTCTCAGCTGTTCGCAATATTTTAAGACTTGAAATAAAACCAGAGCGAGGTGTAAACGCCACCTCTTGAGCTGGATCAAATAGCACTCGAGTTCTTGCTTCGTCGGTCCTGCCGGTTCTGTGGTACTAGATCGATGTCAATACATGTACAGCCGGCTAACAAGTACAATCTGCCGGCTAACTAGTACAATCTGCCGGCACTGAGCTAGAGAACACGGTCTAGATCATTTGATCTGAGCAAGTTAATCTCAGATCTTCTGGGAGTTAATCCGAGACTTGATCGCTGATGCAGGAGATAGGAGGAACTGTTGTTTTTGATGAATAGATGTGTGTGGGCCTCATGGGCTATTTCAAAATTAAAGTCAATATTTCACGTTATAAAAGGAGCTCATGTTAATTGTGTTGATGGGTGTATTCATGTCGAATAAACATCATTTTAAAACATGTTTGTGTTAGTTTCCATTTTGTATCTTGTTGAACTTAAACTTGCTACAAAAAGATTGTCAGTATTTTGTTTGTTTTGGTGAGATATCTCTATAATGTTCCTCCATTTTCTAACTTAGTGTAGGCTGCGTCATGGCATCTCTGATCTAATTTTGTGTACACCAAATCCTCATTTGAAAAACAAAAGAGTGAGTCTTCACTGAAAACACATTGAGTATTATATTATATTGATTTAGTCTAGACACATCGGTCTTAGGGGTCATCCATAAATGACGTCACGCTTTTTTTGATGATGTTTACCTCCCCCTCCGTCACACATCGTGACATAAAAGCCAGGCCCCCCCTCCCCCACTAAAATAACGTCACACATCAGCATACAACCCCCCTCAAAATTGCATTTGAAATGTGTAAAAAAAATACGATATTTTTCCAAAATCTTGTCTGAACATTGTCAACAAATAGTATTTTGATCAATTCCTATTACAACTTATTTTAAAAATTTTCAAAAACGGCTAAACTCGTTTTCTAGCATTGCTTTTTTATAATACTAAAGTGTGACGTTAAACCATCTGACCCCCCCCCCCCAACTCACCCTCATTACACACCGTCACAAAATACGGAACCCCCCCCCCCCCTCACCCTACAAGTGAGACGTCATTTATGGATGACCCCCTGAAGTCGACACCTCTCATGATTAAAATCTTGGTTTTATGTACGAGTTAAAACAGTTATACAAGTTCTTCCAACAAGTCCACAGATATTGAGACCTAAGTAAATGCTTGTAAAAGTAAAACAAAAATTAATTAGCAGATCAATTGAAGTATGTTACCATAATGAAAAAAATGACCACATGACCTAATTTTACAAAACAAAAACAAAACTATAAAAACAGTAGACGAACATCAATAAAAAATGAAGGTATTATTTGGAAAACGCTGAATATATTTATTTACATTAGACTTATTGATCTAAAGTCTCATTTTCTAAAATAAGTATTATAAAAACAGAAACCGCAAAAAAAAAAACGGATCAATTTCAATGTTGTGTTCCTCAAGAACAGAGCGTCAATTAGCATCCATTAGTCGCCAGGCTGGCTGAATGAGATCTTGAGATGCCAGTGTTAACACTTGCATGCACCGGATTGGGGGCGGGGGTCTGGGGGACGGGGGGGGGGGGGCTGGAGGCGGGGGACTGGGGACTGGGGGCGGGGGACTGGAGGCAGGGGACTGGGGACTGGGGGCGGGGGACTGGGGGTGGGGGACTGAGGGCGGGGGACTGGGGCGGGGGACTGGGGCAGGGGACTGGGGGTGGGGGACTGGGGCAGGGGACTGGGGGTGGGGGACTGGGGGCGGGGGACTGGGGGCGGGGGACTGGGGGCGGGGGACTGGAGGCAGGGGACTGGGGACTGGGGGCGGGGGACTGGGGGTGGGGGACTGAGGGCGGGGGACTGGGGGCGGGGGACTGGGGGCGGGGGACTGGGGGCAGGGGACTGGGGGCGGGGGACTGGAGGCAGGGGACTGGGGACTGGGGGCGGGGGACTGGGGGTGGGGGACTGAGGGCGGGGGACTGGGGGCGGGGGACTGGGGGCGGGGGACTGGGGGCGGGGGACTGGGGGCAGGGGACTGGGGGCGGGGGACTGGGGACTGGGGGTGGGAGACTGGGGGCGGGGGACTAGGGGCAGGGGACTGGGGGTGGGGGACTGGGGACTGGGGGCGGGGGACTGGGGGCGGGGGACTGGAGGCAGGGGACTGGGGACTGGGGGCGGGGGACTGGGGGTGGGGGACTGAGGGCGGGGGACTGGGGGCGGGGGACTGGGGGCGGGGGACTGGGGGCGGGGGACTGGGGGCAGGGGACTGGGGGCGGGGGACTGGGGACTGGGGGTGGGAGACTGGGGGCGGGGGACTGGGGGCAGGGGACTAGGGGCAGGGGACTAGGGGCGGGGGACTGGGGGCTGGGGACTGGGGGTGGGGGACTGAGGGCGGGGGACTGGGGGCGGGGGACTGGGGACTGGGGGTGGGAGACTGGGGGCGGGGGGACTAGGGGCAGGGGACTAGGGGCGGGGGACTGGGGGCGGGGGACTGGGGACTGGGGGTGGGGGGACTGGGGGCGGGGGACTGGGGGTGGGGGACTGGGGGCGGGGGACTGGGGGCGGGGGACTGGGGGCGGGGGACTGGGGGCGGGGGACTGGGGACTGGGGGTGGGAGACTGGGGGCGGGGGACTAGGGGCAGGGGACTAGGGGCGGGGGACTGGGGGCGGGGGACTGGGGACTGGGGGGTGGGGGACTGGGGGCGGGGGACTGGGGGCGGGGGACTGGGGGCGGGGGACTGGGGGCGGGGGACTGGAGGCATGGGACTGGATGCAGGGGACGGGGCGGGGGACTGGGGGCGGGGGACTGGGGGCGGGGGACTGGGGGCGGGGGACTGGAGGCGGGGGACTGGGGGCGGGGGACTGGGGCAGGGGCAGGGGAATGGTAGCAGCAGACTAGGGGCAGGGGATTGGGGAATGCTGGCTTCAGATGACAGATGACAGGGGGACTGGGGACAGGGGACAGATGACAGGGAAATGGGTGAAGGGGACTGGGGTCTGGTGGCTGGAGGCAGGGGACTGGAGATAAAGGATTGGGGAATGCTGGCAGGGGACTGAGGACAGGGGACTGGCGTCTGGGGTAGGGAACGGAGCAGGGGAAAGGGGACCGGTGTAGGATGTAGGGGTAGGGGACTGAGGATGTAGGCAGGGGTATTGGGGCTTGTGTTTGGGGCTGAGGTTTGGGGGACAGGGTGTGGGGGATGGCGACTAGGGGCAGGGGAAAGAGGACATGTTACCTATTGTGAGGGCTGGGACTATCGTCCTGACCAGCTGTACTGCTTGTGTGGTACGGATACCCTATTTGTTGTATCTAGTCGCCACGTACTTCTCACGGTTATTTTTGTCTTGACAAATGGAGCTGGACACGACCGACTTATTGGTTAAATGGACACGGCATTTTGTCCTCATCAGAATAGCTTCAACCACGGCAATACGTGCCAACAACAAATTAAATCAATCTAAACATCAATTAATTTTAACTGCGATTATGACAACCATAACATTTTGACGTTTTCTTCATGTCAGAAGGCGTGGCTTCCTATATCTATTTATGGTGTGGTGCTGTATTTAGAGTGTTATTTAACATGCACAGTTAATTATAATTTAAAAAGGCATTTAATTAGATTTTTTAGTTAATTTTTCAAATAAAGCAATTTAAATAAAAAAAACGAAATAGCGAAAAAAAATTCAACAGCTGTTTCAATAGCAAGATAGGACATCAAAATTTATACAGGCAAGGGGTTCTTAACCTGGGTTCGATCGAACCCTATGGTTTCGATGAGCGAGTCTCATGAGTTGGTGGAGTCAAGGCACACACCCGACTCAAATGATTCACGATCGGATTTTGTCAGTACTGTTAAGAAAGGGTTCGGTTGATGGGGTTCGGTACCTTCAAAAAGAGATACATCATCCTCTCGGTAAATTAACCCTACCTATTTGAACCCTAAAACACGAAACAAAACAGAAAGCTGCTTTCAGAGAGAGAGAGAGAGAGAGAGAGAGAGAGAGAGAGAGTGTACACGGAACAAAAGAACTAAAAACTTTCATGTTTCACAACAAATTTTGCACCATGTTCTGCACCATGTTCTGCACCATGTTCTGCAACAATTTCTGGAACAAGTTCTGCACCAAGTTTTGCGCCAAAGTCTGCAAGAATTCACGGCTTAAGTTTCCTAATGTACCAAAACCACGCTAAACAATAGCAGCACTAAATAGCCTTATATCAAGTGCTTGGATACCACTAGAATGGCACGAGAATAGCACGAGTATAGCACGAGAATGGCACGAGAAGTGCGGCTATCCTTCAGATCTTGAGACGCCTTTTGACGGATGTCTCTGCGTCTCAGTTGACGTCATCGCCCGCCTTGATGTGGACGTCACATGACGTCAACAAGCCTGGACTGCAACGCCAACGGTTAACTATATCATCAACGGGAAAACCCTTAGACAGGAATAACTTTGAATGGTATGAGTAAAAACCAATGCGGTGTGCAGTCATGCGTGTCTTTACACGGTTCTAATTTATAAAGGTGTGTGTGGTGGATGGGGGTAGAGACGTCGATAATGGAGAATTTTACATGAGTGGTTTTTGTGTGGGTGGTAAATAGTGTGAGTGGTGATTTCTGTGGGAAGTTGTACGTGTGGGCTATGTCGTATTTAGGTACAATATGTATGGGTTTTATGCTGTGCATCTAACACCTTTTTTTTGGCTCTTCAGTATTTTAAGTGGGTTTGATGGTGTGTTGGTAGGAATTAGTACGAACTTCACAAAGCTTCAAGCTTGCTCCTCCTAATACAGGATATGACGTGTGCCTCACACTTACAACACAACTTTCATTTCCTAAACACCTTTCACATCTTCAGACCCTGACCCAACTACATCACTGACTTGAACCTCCAGAAAATTAAAACACATTTAGACGCTCACTAGACAAATGGAGTGGTCATCAATGTAACTGACTGATGGGGAAACTATCATCATAGCTCATTCATTCCCAGCCCTATGTTTTTTTATTTATTTAAGAACGTGGGGTTAAAATTTAGGTGGCCTATAAGAAAGCCGTAGTCGATACAAAAATCTAATAAAAAATATTAGGGAGAAAAAAGTTTTGATATTAATCTTAAGGAAGCTTCAAATCCTTAGGAGTAAACTAAACACATATTGGAGCAACACTGAGAAGGGAAGTAAAAATAAAAAGAGAAAACAACTCAGAAATATCACCTCAAGGACGATGGGTAGCGGGTAGAGGACAACATCAAACTAGGGTGGGGGCGGGTGGACTTGGTTTTAACTTCACAGCGAGTAGTACGACATTATAAAAAAACTCTGGCACAACTAGATCACGGCCATTGCCGGTTGTAATTACATCAACACAATACATTGTTGTAATTACATCAACACAATACATTACACGGTGTCGCTACTGGTTAGCTAGGACTTATCTCCCACACTAACACGATTAGCCCAGTGTGGTTTTACCTGGATAAGTTGTAAAATATGGAACAAGTCTACAGCCCTCTTACTGTCCACACAAACACGGATGTAACTGTCAAGTTGGCTAATTCCTCCACCACCTATACAATTTTGCCGACCAATCAACAGACGTTACTATAAATTCTTGATACATAGTTAGGAGTTAATTGTAATTTTAATGCATTTTATTTTATTTGTTTTTATTTTTTTAGCCACAAAATTTGTATTCGTTATCAACATTAAGGGTTTATTTCCCTTAAATTCAGCACAAGGAACATGTGTCACTAGGGTGCACAGTCTGTGAGTTGAGTCCTCATCTTCATTGCGCATGCGTGCAAGACGAACACGTAACCTGTAAGGAACATGTCTAATGCCCTGTGACCAGATGTGCTTGTTCAGACGAATATCAATTCTAACATCAGGGGTACCCATCGTTTTCTCAGCAGACTTGCAGATCACCTAGATAGCTCTAGGTGCCCTCTTCTTAAATCCTACGCTATATACTCGCTTGTGCATTAGAATAGTACATTCCTTGGTAATTACTTCATTTGTAGCCAGTTTCTTCAATGCATCTCCGAACGAAATGAAATTTATATAATTTATATAGAAAATATATACTTTAAACAGTGTCCGCCCCATCGAAGAAAGTCTACCGCCCCCCCCCCCCCCCCCCGAAAATTTCAAGTGCCCCCTCCCCCCCCCCCGGAGAAAAGAGTCTGGAAGAAACACTGTTTGTAGCAGCCTCATTTTATTACGCTGTTTTCTGGGAGGAGCCATTGTCAGCCTAATCAATGACCGTTTTAGTCGGAAAGGGAGTTGCAAAACTTTGACTGTTAATTAATTTTTAATTTTTTTTTTCAATTTATCAATTAATTTTAAAAAAATTTAAAATGGTTTTTACATGTGCAAATGTGATCAATGTTAATTTGATTGGTTACAAATTTGTTCGAAACTTATGTGCATATTTATCAGTCGACAAACAAGTGCATAACTTTATTTTTTTTAATTATTTTAAAATTCACAGTTTTGTAGTTATAGTAACTATTTAATATTTTTTTTTAATGTCTAGAATAAGATGGAAATTGTAGAAATGCACTGTAGTATTGTTTAGGTTGGGAAAAATCTACAAGATATACAGAAAATTAAAATTATTTTCTTGGTTATTTCCCTTGCAGTGTTAAAAATCAAACTCTAGTCTAGATGTTTATTTCCAGCATTGAAGTGAAGGGAGACAATTTTCTACTCAATGTAGCACTGTAAATAACAACCTCCAAGACAACATTAAATGACCTTAAAATTAAAATTATTTCAGCGTTTGGCTTTCATAAGATGTTGGTCTCCTCAAAAGTTCCAAACCTCGTTTTAGGCATACTGATAAATAAAACAAACGTTACTAATTATTTTGCTTGTCAATGCAAAAACATCCTATTATTTATCTAACCAACAACTCAACTTGAGGTATAAGACACAGCATCAAGACACAAGACACAAGCATCAAGACACAAGCACCAAGACACAAGCATCAAGACACAAGCATCAAGACACAAGACACAAGCATCAAGACACAAGACACAAGCATCAAGACACAAGCACCAATACACAAGCATCAAGACACAAGCAACAAGACACAAGACACAAGCATCAAGACACAAGCACCAAGACACAAGCATCAAGACACAATCATCAAGACACAAACATCAAGACACAAGCATCAAGACACTCGCATCAAGACACAAGCATCAAGACACAAGCATCAAGACACAAGACACAAGCATCAAGACACAAGACACAAGCATCAAGACACAAGCATCAAGACACAAGCATCAAGACACAAGCATCAAGACACAAGCATCAAGACACAAGCATCAAGACACAAGACACAAGCATCAAGACACAAGCATCAAGATAAAAGCAACGAGACACAAGCATCAAGACACAAGCATCAAGATAAAAGCAACGAGACACAAGCATCAATACACAAGCATCAAGACACAAGTACCAAGACACAAGCACAAAGCCACAATCAACGAGACACAATCATTAAGACACAAGCATCAAGACACAAGCATCAAGACACTAGCGTTAATACACGAGCATACAAACACACACCAAGAAATTATTACATAATTTTAAAAAAATTAAAATAACTTTACAGATTTAACAGTTTCTTCAAGTTCATTCAAAGATTATCTCAAATTGTGGATCCATTGACATTTGTACTAGATCCAGTACTTTAAGCTGTCTTTGATAAAAGACTATCTGACGTTGTGATGATCCATTGACATTGGCACTATATCGCGTACTTTAAGCTGTCTTTGATCAAAATAGAATCAGCAAGTTACAACTGGAAACGAAAAAAAAAACCTCGGGCGAATGTCAATAGCTTGTTGAAAATATTTTATTTGAATGGCTCTTCTGAAATGACGTCACATTTTGAAAAATAACACAAGTATATTGGAACTGATTATATGACGTGCCACTAAAGTCAGAAGTCACAAACAGAACTGATGTACCGCTAAACTGGGGTTCCAGGTTCGGATACCGGTTAAGTAATGTAGTCAGATAAGGTGGATTAGGACTGGTCGAGCCGTTACGTCACTCCTGTCCATTGAAGCTTGTGTCTTATGGCTAAACCAAGCCTGTGTATGTCTTATGGCTAAACCAAGCCTGTATCTGTCTTATGGCTAAACCAAGCCTGTGTCTATCTTTTAAAATATTTGGGAGCCGGTAATTTAGGGCGTCTGAGCATGTATTGATGTAATGTGGGATAAGTTTATAAAGTTTACACAAAAGGCGAATTGTGCCAGCATTTTGACGAAACAATTTGTTTTGTTGTTGACATTCGGGTTTTAAAAATTGTTCTCCAGTTAAATATACAATTATTTTGAGAATAATCTCTATACAATCTAGTCAGTTTAGATGTACTAATGTTATAAAGTGATCTTTAAGAAAGGTTAAAGTCTCAAGGAATTGAAGATAACTGCAATACACTTTGAATATTAAAGAACACAAAGTTATCCAACATCATTATAATTTAAAATATTTATTTATAAACTTTTCTCTATCATTCACACATAAGCTGATTTAGTATTTAACAATTCAGGGTTTCTAAACGAAAGAAACTCATGCATACATTCATACACGATACTAAAACTATCACACACTGTCTATCACACAGTCACACACATACACCACCATACGACAGCACACATACTCCAGCAACATAGTCAAGGCCCCAGGGTGCAGGTCTCTAGCAGGGAGGGGGACGTGGGCGTGGTCTCATATAAACCGCTGCATCAGAATGTGGAAGTCGTCGTAGCAGAGTTTCCTCTCGTCGTCTTTGAAGAACGGCGACAACATATCCTCAGTCTCAGCCACTGACAGATACAAACCTGCAGAGGGCATGAACTCATGTTATATGGCACAAACCTGCAGAGGGCATGAACTCATGTTATATGGTACAGAGACAAACCTGCGGAGGGCATGAACTCATGTTATATGGTACTGATACAAACCTGCAGAGGACATGGGGTCATGTTATACGGTACAGCATGCTCACTACACTAGCGACACTAAGGTTAAAACTAGGCAAGGATATCGATACGGAGCTTAACACTAGGCATCAGAATCTACGCTTAAATAAGGACTAGGCATCAGAATCTACGCTTAAATACGGACTGGGCATCTATATCGATGTGAATGTATGAGTTGTGTAATGATAAAGATACTAAAGTTAACCCGTTATTTACATAGGTGACCTATTGTAGCCTCTCAGACCTGTATAAGGGCGTCATAAAAGTTACCAGACATAAGTAGCAGAAACCTATAAATTACGTCATAATGCCCATATATTTATTAGTTGAGATATTATCACCCGGCAGACTTCCGTCTTTTGTATTGTAAACATTAATAAGCCTATATTTTTAGGTGATCGATTAATTCACACAATGTGATATACCACACGTGTAAACTATGACAATGTGATTTACTACACGTGTAAACTAAGACAATGTGATATACCACACGTGTAAACTAAGACAATGTGATATACCACACGTGTAAACTAAGACAATGTGATTTACCACACGTGTAAACTAAGACAATGTGATATACTACACGTGTAAACTAAGACAATGTGATATACTACACGTGTAAACTAAGACAATGTGATTTACCACACGTGTAAACTAAGACAATGTGATATACCACACGTGTAAACTAAGACAATGTGATTTACCACACGTGTAAACTAAGACAATGTGATATACTACACGTGTAAACTAAGACAATGTGATATACTACACGTGTAAACTAAGACAATGTGATATACTACACGTGTAAACTAAGACAATGTGATATACTACACGTGTAAACTAAGACAATGTGATATACTACACGTGTAAACTAAGACAATGTGATATACCACACGTGTAAACTAACACAATGTGATTTACCAACATGTAAACTAAGACACTGTGATTTACCCAAGGTGTAAACTAATACAATGTGATTTACCTAACATCTTCATCGACTCCCGAAACTCCTGTACTGTAATGTAGCCGTCGCCGTCGCGATCAAAATGAAAAAACATGGACAATGATCCGTTGTCGCCACTGGTACGTATGTATTTCTTCATGAACGCCACGAACTCGTTGAAGTCAAGTTTCCCGTCCCCTACAGCAGGTTAGTATAAAGTCAAGTTTCCCGTCACAACAGGATAAAATAAAGTCAAGTTTCCTGTCCCCTACAGCAGGATAAAATAAAGTCAAGTTTCCCGTCCATTACAGCAGGATAAAATAAAGTCAAGTTTCCCGTCCCCTACAGCAGGATAAAATAAAGTCAAGTTTCCCGTCCATTACAGCAGGATAAAATAAAGTCAAGTTTCCCGTCCCCTACAGCAGGATAAAATAAAGTCAAGTTTCCCGTCCATTACAGCAGGATAAAATAAAGTCAAGTTTCCCGTCCCCTACAGCAGGTTAGTATAAAGTCAAGTTTCCCGTCACAACAGGATAAAATAAAGTCAAGTTTCCCGTCACAACAGGATAAAATAAAGTCAAGTTTCCTGTCCCCTACAGCAGGATAAAATAAAGTCAAGTTTCCCGTCCATTACAGCAGGATAAAATAAAGTCAAGTTTCCCGTCCCCTACAGCAGGATAAAATAAAGTCAAGTTTCCCGTCCATTACAGCAGGATAAAATAAAGTCAAGTTTCCCGTCCCCTACAGCAGGTTAGTATAAAGTCAAGTTTCCCGTCACAACAGGATAAAATAAAGTCAAGTTTCCCGTCACAACAGGATAAAATAAAGTCAAGTTTCCTGTCCCCTACAGCAGGATAAAATAAAGTCAAGTTTCCCGTCACAACAGGATAAAATAAAGTCAAGTTTCCTGTCCCCTACAGCAGGATAAAATAAAGTCAAGTTTCCCGTCACAGCAGGATAAAATAAAGTCAAGTTTCCTGTCCCCTACAGCAGGATAAAATAAAGTCAAGTTTCCCGTCACAACAGGATAAAATAAAGTCAAGTTTCCTGTCCCCTACAGCAGGATAAAATAAAGTCAAGTTTCCCGTCACAGCAGGATAAAATAAAGTCAAGTTTCCCGTCCCCTACCCGGACATCTAATCCTTTAGCACCGAACCCCATGGTCTCACCGTTAGCACCGAACCCCGTGGTCTCACCATCCGCACCGAGCCCCGTGGTCTCACCCTTAGCACCGAACCCCGTGGTCTCACCCTTAGCACCGAACTCTGTGGTTTCACCCTTAGCACTGACCCCGTGGTCTCACCCTTAGCACCGAACCCCGTGGTCTCACCATTAGCACCAAACCCCGAGGTCTCACCGTTAGCACCGAACCCCGTGGTCTCACCCTTAGCACCGAACCCCGTGGTCTCACCCTTTGCACCGAGCCCCGTGGTCTCACCCTTAGCACCGAACCCCGTGGTCTCACCATTAGCACCTAACCCTCTTATATCACCCTTAGCACCGAACTCTGTGGTTTCACCCTTAGCACCGAACCCCGTGGTCTCACCCTTAGCACCGAACTCTGTGGTTTCACCCTTAGCACTGAACCCCGTGGTCTCACCCTTAGCACCGAACCCCGTGGTCTCACCATCAGCACCGAACCCCGTGGTCTCACCATCAGCACCGAACCCCGTGGTCTCACCCTTAGCACCGAACCCCGTTGTCTCACCATCAGCCCCGAACCCCGAGGTCTCACCGTTAGTATCAAACTCCGTGAGCAGCATCAGGGCGTCATCAGTTGAGATCGGCATCTCCATCTCCTTGAAGGTCTGGCAGATCTCGTCCACGGTGATCAGACCGTCCTGGTTCTTGTCGAAGGTGGTGAAGCCTTCCCTCACGTCTGGGGGTATGTGGGGGGGGGGGTACATGGGGCGGTTAGTGGTTGGGGTATGTCGGGGGTACATGGGGTGGTTAGTGGTTGGAGTGTGTCGGGGTACATGGGGTAGTTAGTGGTTGGGGTGTGTGGGGGTACATGGGGTGGTTAGTGGTTGGGGTGTGTGGGGGTACATGGGGTGGTTAGTGGTTGGGGTATGTGGGGGAGCAACATGGGGCGGTTAGTGGTTGGGGTATGTGGGGGTACATGGGGTGGTTAGTGGTTGGGGTGTGTGGGGGTACATGGGGTGGTTAGTGGTTGGGGTATGTGGGGGTACATGGGGCTGTTAGTGGTTGGGGTATGTGGGGGTACATGGGGCGGTTAGTGGTTGGGGTATGTCGGGGACAACATGGGGCTGTTAGTGGTTGGGGTGTGTCGGTGGTACATGGGGCGGTTAGTGGTTGGGGTATCTGGGGGTACATGGGGTGGTTAGTGGTTGGGGTATGTGGGGGTACATGGGGCGGTTAGTGGTTGGGGTATGTCGGGGGTACATGGGGCGGTTAGTGGTTGGGGTATGTCGGTGGTACATGGGGGTACATGGGGTGGTTAGTGGTTGGGGTATGTCGGTGGTACATGGGGGTACATGGGGCGTTTAGCGCTTGGGGTATGTCGGTGGTACATGGGGGTACATGGGGCGTTTAGCGTTTGGGGTGTGTCGGGGGTACATGGGGGTACATGGGGCGTTTAGCGTTTGGGGTATGTCGGTGGTACATGGGGGTACATGGGGCGTTTAGCGCTTGGGGTATGTCGGTGGTACATGGGGGTACATGGGGCGTTTAGCGTTTGGGGTATGTCGGTGGTACATGGGGGTACATGCGGCGGTTAGAGCTCGGGGTATGTCGGTGGTACATGGGGGTACATGGGGCGTTTAGCGTTTGGGGTATGTCTGATGATGCTTGAGTGGTCAGTCGCTACAGCCGTGCGGGTGGGGGTCTGGTCGTTGTTGTCTTAGTTGCTGTTAGCCAGTGGTCAGTCTGAATTGCTGTCGAGAGATAGTTGTCAGTCTGAGTTGCTGTGAGTGGCAAGTCTTAGTTGTCATTGTGAGATACAGTGGTCAGTGTTGTTGTTTGATGTGTGACCTGTGTATGTTTGATGTGTGACCTGTAGATGTTTGATGTGTGACATATGGATGTTTGATACGTGACCTATGGATGTTTGATGTGTTACCTGTGTATGTTTGATGTGTGACCTGTGTATGTTTCATGTGTGACTTGTGTATGTTTGATGTGTAACCTGTAGTTGTTTGAATATGTATGATGTGTGACTAGTTTTAAAATGAAAGTAACTTCACACTTACCATACATTGCCGCCTGAAATGACAAAAAATAAATGTGACACTTCATACAGTGAGGATCTAGTATCGCTAAAAGTATCGCTAAAAGTATCACTAAAAGTATCGCTTAAAGTATCGCTAAAAGTATTACTGACCCTAACCTTAAGTAAAAAATCTAACCCCGTGGGTTCATTCAAATATCCGAGTAGGCTATAATAGCCTTACGAGCATGTCGACAAGGCAAATATAACAGACATGAACAGAGTTATTTGATAAGAAATAAATCACTGACACCAATTAATAGAAAATATATTATGATGAAAATTGAATATAGGCAATTGCTTTTCGTCAATAAAGCTTCTTTAAACTAAGCATATAAAGGGATAGTCTGATCTGCAATATGCCCAGGTAGCCTTTACTCTCCCTAAGATTAGCCAGGTACCGAAAAGAGCTGAGTAAACTCGAGCCTGGTATCCAAACTCTACCTTTATTTTAACTAAAGTGGGACGACAGAAATCAAAATACTTCTATCCCACACTACCCATTGTAATTCTATCAATACAATAGGGGAGAAACAGCAAAGTTTAGAACAAGCTTATGCCTGAAAATAGCAGAACCCTAGACGTAAATCTAGTCCTAACCGTAGTCCTGGCCATAGCTCTAATCCTAATCTTGATCCTAATCCTAATCCCAACCCTAATCCTAATCTTAGTCCTAGTTCTAACCCTTAGATCAAATCCGGGCGGGGTGCAATGTCGGAGAGGGGTGGAATGTCTGCTGGTAATTTACAAAGGGATTTAGTCCTGCTCTAGATTAATCATCGCGATGCATTCTAACATTGTTGATTGTATACACATATCGTGTTTATTACTAGATCTATACTCACTGATGTGAGCAGTATTGTAATAAAAAATATGGGTACACAAACATAACAGAAGAGACATCGCTTACAGTAGCATCCTTTTTGGATCTTTCTCCACAACAGCAACATATGCGATTCATCACGAGTCAATGTCAGCATGGGTTGAGCTCCTGGTGCCATACGCCTTACGGTACCATTGTCAACATGCTTCAACAGGAAGCTACAGAGCTGGGAATTCGAATTTTCATTAATGATATTGCGAAACGAAACAAAACTAAAATTAATTAAGAAAAACGTATTAAAAATGATAGGCCTATTCTAATAAGTAAACTTTAATAAATAAATAAAAAAACTACAGCGAAAAAACGTAAAAACCGTTTTTAACGTCAAGTTGGCACTTGAGGAATAGAAGACGCTGATTATAAAATGTACTCTTCGCGCAGTGAAAAGAAAAAAAGTTTAATTAAAAACAAGACGCCATCTTTTAAGCATCGTGCTGTAATGACGAAGTCAACCCCAGCATAACACGATGACGTCATTTAAATAATGTTTTCTAAAAGAACTTTAGCTTTACTAATGTATAAACATTATGAAAATAAACCAGTGTGAAAAACAAAGAAGTCAAATGTAATTAAAAGTTTGGACTGTATACATTTACTATAGATTCTAGTATTTTTTTATACTTAAAAAAATTATGAGAAGATAATTCGAGCTTCAGACATGAATATGCTCACAAGAAAGTAAACAAAATTATCTTCCTGCTGATTTCTGCTCACCGGTAAAGCAATTACTAAGGCGATTACAAAACACAGGTGAGATTAAAAGGAGGCGGGCTAATTCGCTCCACAGGTAGACATCAATTAGAGGCTTATCGCTAGACAAATTAATCCTTAAGGGGCAGACAATCCATTAGAGCTCTCACATTGTTAGTGTTAAAATCTATGGCACAAAGGCTGGATGACTGAGAATAAGGTTATCAGACGGTGCAACTACGTAGTATGATTAACTAAAAACTTTTTGAAATTTTATTTTAACATTACTTAGAGAGCCAAAGGCCACATAGTCTCATTCTGGCCAGTGGCCATAGTCTCCTACTGGCTAATGACACTAAAGTCTCCTGCTGGCCAGTGGCCATATAGTCTTCTTATACTGGCCATCATGCCCAGTTAATGCTTATCTTTAACTTAACATCACAAACTCGATAAAACCCAGTAAAAACCCACACACGCAACAAAGCTAACACACTTTGATAAAACCCAGTAATAACAAGGCAAACACAGCAAAACAGATAAAACCGGCAATAGTGTTTTCAGGTAAAATTAGCAAAATTGAGACTCTTCACCCACCTCCCTCCCTCCTTCCCTCCCCTCCCCTCCCCTCCCCTCCCTCCCTCCCTCCCTCCCTCCCTCCCCCCTCCCTCCCTCCGCAAACACCAACTACAGAAAAATCATCAAATAATAACACGGATTAGATATATTAACAGAACGAGATTTGTGAAGGATTTACGAAATGATACATAGCCAACCTAAAATTTATAACGATATACTCGACATACTCACAAATCAATAAATTAAAATAATCAATAAAAAGGAACACATGTTTATAAGAGTGTAGAATGGTTTGTATTTAATGAAAATATAGGGTCACATTAGACTAGATATAAAATAAAACCAATGTAAACAAGACAAGCTAGCTACAGCAATATAGCTAGGGCGAGATCAGAAGATGATGAGCCGCCTCAGGCAAAACTGGTACTGGTCATGATGTGGGGGCGTTTGGGGGAGGGGGTAGAAGAAATACAAAGAAAAGGGAGATAATTAGACCGAGTTAAATAACACGGCAGTTTTTGCGGCGTCTGAACCAAATTCTCAGCATCAAAGACTCGCAAGTGGGCTTAAAGTTCGCTAATTACTTAGCCTGTCCCTCGTATTCCCATGCACTTTACCGACGCGGCTAAATTAATATGATTAAAGAGCTAAGGCCAGTTTAGTGTGGCCTCGGGCACTTTTGGCCAAGCGTGACCTTGAACTTGGGCGGATGGACCTGGAAAACGCTCACTTCAAAATATGGGGGGGGAGGGTAGTAAAACATGCGCTGTGGGGCGGTGAAGGGTGGGGGAAGGGGGAGGGGAGAGACAGAAGGAATTTTCTTAAGTACACTCATTTGAAACTTACAGGAATAAAGAAAAAGACACAGGTTTTTATGGGACTTTGTGACACATTTATATATATATAGAACTTGGCCAACATTATTATAAATGGAACTTGGCCAAACATTGTTACATATGGAACTTGGCAAAACAAAATTGTTAAACATAGAACTTGGCAAAACATTATTATAAATGGAACTTGGCCAAACATCGTTATATATGGAACTTGGCCAAGCATTGTTATGTATGGAGCTTAGAAAAACATTGTTATGTATGGAGCTTGGCAAAACATTGTTATATATAGAACTTGACCAAACATTGTTACATATTATGGAACTTGGCTAAACATTGTTATGTATGGAGCTTGGCGAAACATTTTTATATATAGAACTTGGCCAAACATTGTTATATATGCAACTTAGCAAAACATTTTTATATATGGAACTTTACAAAACATTTTTATACATGGAACTTGGCCAAAGACTGCTATTTGTGGAATTTGGCCACACTTTTTTATTTGTGAAACTTGGCCAAGCATTGTTGTATATGAATTAGGCCAAAAAGATTTGCGAAATCTATCAACCTTCTGCTAAAAAAAATTAGCATTATTTCACCACTTTAGCTATAAAAACATAACATGTCAATCACAACTAAATTATAAAATATCATTGCCGCATGAAGGGGAAGAACGTCCTGTGAATCTGGTCCAAACATCAACAAACAGAACCAAGTTCTCCGTCCTGACCGAATTAAAAACACAACAACACATAATTAAACACGCGTAAGATTTCCAACCTGACACTGTCGACATATCAGGTCATGTAATGAGAGAAAAGACGATAATATAATTGCTAATTAACTAATTATCTGCTCGTTTGAGCAGTTGTGTTGGATTGCGAAATCAGAATTAACATGAATTTTTATTAACATAATTTATGGCTGAACTAACCAATGGTGTTTTTTTTAATACTAAACTAGAAAAACATCAAAATCATTATTCATTTAACAAACTACGATTTGGTTCATAAAACCAACATTATTCTTTATTATTTAAATCAACATTATCCAATTATAAAAACTGCAAATAATGTTTTCATAAAAAAACAATAATATTCCATGTATTATCACATTAATGGTAAATTTTAGAAAATTTAGAAAAATTATATATTTCTTTAAAAAACAAACAAAAAAACACGACTCCAGTTTCAAAAAGCAATCATAATATGTTTAAGAGATATAGATTTCTTTGTTACAATTTTTTTAAAAAGTCAAAGTTTATTTTACCAAAGTGTAACAATGCTCTTTACATGTGTATGTGTTTCATACAAGTCAAGTCAGAGCTAGTTTATCTTATTGTTCTTATACTTTTTTCATAATTAACCGATTTTTCCCCAGGTGCTGTCTTATAGGTCGACCCCAGTACTTTAGCCTGACCAGGATACGTACGTGCAGGATAAAGCTACATCACATTCTCGAGGTCACCTAAACTTAGCCTGCCAGTGAACAACTCAATTAGCTGAAATAAAGCCGTATCTGAACAAAAACATGATCGTTTCTTGTTCACAGTTTTGCGACAAACTTGAACATTTAACAGAGAGAGTTGTTTTATTTTGCCAGACAAAACTGCAAGGTTTCGCCAACACAACAAATTAAAATATAACGTTACGTTCTCAGATATAATAAAGTGATAAGAATTGAATTTTTGTATCGATGTAATAAAAGACAGGCTTATCTTTAGAGGGAACGGGGAGGGGCGGGTAATTTTAGTCAATGTTCTTTCAACTTAGTCTTAGTCGCAAGTGAAAAAAAAATTCATAATAATAAACTTCAAAGTCAGAAGATAAATATTTCATATTTTACTTTGGTGAATCTTAGATTACAATACCTTGCAATCTAAATTTAATTTAATTAGAATCTTAATTAGTCACTAAAATGTGTTTCAAGGTTATGTTCGATTTTTGTCAAGTCTTCAAGTCAATGTCCAGAATATAATCGGGTTTTCAGAAAACACGAATCGTTTAAATACCAGCGATATAAAAACTAGCTTGAAATCACGAAACAATACATGCCGGTGAGAATAAGAAACTGTAAGAATTGGGTGATTGCGTGTTGTGGTGCTGCTTCAGTCCTCAATCAAATTAAACTTCTGCTCCTGTTTTTAATTTCTTTACAAACAAACTAAAGTTCTGGGCTGAAAATAAACACTGTTTACAAAAGGTAAAGTGAAATAAAAGACAGGCTATATTTAGTGGTGTCGGGACAATTCAAGTTGCTAAACAAAAATACGAGCTAAATGCAGATATACACCTAGTTTAATCTTATTACAAGTCAAGTATCTGCGCTCACAGATAAAAAGATAAAGGGAGTCACGTGACTTACTGGTTTCACTTTGACATGTCGGTCAACGGTTTCTTTGGTTCGTTGTTTTCATCGTTTGCACAAATCTGCATTTTCTGTCTAGTTAAAGGTATTTAATAAATTATACAGTTTAAGTTGAGAATCTTTGAACCATAAGCTGAAATGTAAAAAAAAAAAAACTGCAGACAGAGAGGGTATCACAATTAATGGACCAACGTCAAAACAACTCCATTTAAACGTAGGGGTAGTAGAGTGCTTGTGCTTTTGTTCAGTAGTTGGGTACGTAACGTAGTTGTTAGGTATCTTCAAGCATTAAGGCTGGCAACAATATAACTGGATAGCCCCATAGATAAAGATACAAATGATAAACAAGTTCTATAGATGAGTCATCTCATTATGCGAACATTCACCTAAGGGCCTGTATGAGCATCTTAAGTCCTTGTCAAGTTCCCAACTAAAGTCAGGCACCAATTTAAGCTGAGTCGACTCATCGATTGGGTCGGAATATAAAATCTCATTAAATTAAACTAGGATCACACATTAACAATTAGATCAACTTCAAGCGGTGACAAAGCAGTCTAGTGAACTTGGCCTATCTCACTAGATCAGAAAAGTTGGCCAGTGAATCAAACACGTTTTTATACCGCACTATTTAAACAAGTTGATCTACCTCACTAAATCAATCCAAAATGTGCATGCACT